TGCGTGTTACCCCAGCTGCCTTTCCTGCAGCTCCTGGCGGTGGAGCTGGGTGTGGTGTCCACACGACTCACAGCAGCTGATAAAGCTGAGCACATGAAGAGGCTGAGACATGCCCCCCCTCGCCTCTTCACCCCAGGTGAGTGTGTGCCCTCTCTGTCATGCACACTAGGCCCAGCCACAAGCCTTGCCACCACATACCCTCTGCCTTGGGGACACCCATGGGGATGGGGAAGAGCAGGCCCACAGTGCCCCCCCTCCAGGACATCCCTATGACCTGCTTTCTGGGAAGGGGCCTCTCGCCCAGCTCTGTGCTCCGCATGGGGGCACGGGGGAGGAGGGAGCCAGGTGAGGTTTGGAGGCAGGGGTCCTGGTTCAGCGGGGCAGGTGGGCGAGCAAGCAGTGGTGTTTTCCCATGCCCAGCCAGTCTAGCCTCAGGCCTGTACTGCCCCAGCAGGCCTCTCACATGCTCCTCTCCTTCCCATAGCCCTGAGTCCGTCGCTGGGCGCCAGGCCAAGGGTCCCGTCCAGCCTGGCCAGCCCCGGACCCTTTGCTGCCGAGGATGTGCAAATCACAGGCATGGCCCAGCGCGTCAAGGAGGTGCTGCCGCACGTGCCCCTTGGCATCATCCGCAGGGACCTGGGTGAGCGGGGCCAGAGGTGCGGTGGGGGGTCTGGCACCAGGTCCCCTCGCAGTGAGGCCTGGGCTGCATGGGGAGCCCTGGGCAGGCCGCCCGGCAGCAACTCCTGCTTACGCAGCCCGTCTGCCCCGCAGCCCAGACCAACTGTGTGGACACCACCATCGCCAACCTGCTGGATGGGTGGGTGCCCTTCATGCCTGAGGAGACGGTGGCAGCCGAGGACGCCCTACTCGCCCCGTCCACGTCCCAGGCTGCTGCTGGGCCCCTGTGCTCCACAACTGCATCCCCCGCCGAGGTAGCTGCAGCAGGGAGAGGCTGGCACTGCTCCTGGGAGTTGGGTACAGGGAACCACAGGTGCTCAGGCCCCAGTGTGGTGGGCTCTGTGAGCGGGAGGAAGGAGCCTCTGGCTGGCAGGGGGTGGCACAGTGGGTGCAGCCAGACCCAGCCCGGTCTGCCCAGGCCATAGGACTGGTGCCTGCTACTGGCTCAGAGGTGCCAGGAGTGGGGTGGCAGCACGGTGCTGGGCCCTGGCCGCTTCGTGACCATGCTCCCACCCCCAGCCGGCCGTGAAGCAGTTTGCGAGGTCCTCTGTGCAGCGGCACCTGTCCCTGCAGGAACGCAAGCGGGCGCTATACGACCACGCCAGGCGGTGAGTGCGAGTCCAGCAGGTGCGGGGCCCAGCCTGCCCCCTCCTTCCTGCCCAGGATGTGGGGGGGAACCGGGCTGGGTCAAGGTGTCTGTGCTTGCTGCCCTGGCCCTGGCCCTGGGTGGGACAGAGGCAGACAGCGTAACCTTTCGGCCGCTTCTCCTGCAGGAAGTACGCGGAGAAACACGGGGCGCCACTGGCCACTGGGACCCACTGACCGGAGTGCCCACTGCATCTGCATGCCCGCGAGACGGACCACCCAGTGCCCGGCCTGCGCCCCTCGCCACAGCCACCCGGCTCCCGCCCCGGT